AAGTATAATTTTTTTCATTTTATTTTTCTTGATTTTTTTTAACAACATGGTTAATATGGAAAGATGGTTTTCATGATTTCACATATATAACTAATATCAGATTTCTTTCCTTCTCAATGGATGATAGACAGGCAGACCTTTGGAATTTGGAATTTAAAATAAAAAAAAGAATGTTCAAAATAAATAAATAATATGTTTATTTAAAAGTAATGATGCATTTTGAACTTTGCTTGGATTTGGAGGAAACCTCATTAGTTTATAGCTTGAAGTATGTACTTTCTCCCATTTACTGAAAATTAGACCCACATTTCCTCACATCTTGTAATGTGGTGCTTATCCTGTTCTCCATGACAATTCTAACAAAACTGACTCTGGCTGAGTTATATTCACAAATTCTTTTACTCTCCTGAGATATGGTTCATCAGGATATAATGCATTTAACTGAGTCAGCCCTGCTCCTAGCACAGCCCCAGGGTGGTGGCCACAGTGGCAGACAGTGGAGAGATCAAGCAGCTGATCAGAGGGGGATTGTAGGAATCTCTTTGCTGGTGCTGAGGCAGGATTCTCTTGTTTTGTCCATGCTTGGATCTGGGTCCCAGTCCTGGGTGGCAGTCCTGGGGTGGGGAGGAGCACTGGCATAGCAGAGCTTGTGGCAGCAGTGGAGAGGGAACCCTGCTCTCATTTCCAGGGCAGAAAAGAGTGCTTGTGGTCACTCACAAACCAGAACCCAGGCCAGGAGAGGAGTAAACACCTCTCCTTAGAACATACCACCTTGGAAGAACTGAAAACTTACAGGTCCCCAGAAGTATCTCTGAAAACAGCTGCACAAACCCCTGAATCTTGGGACAGTACACCCTCCACACTGGAAGCAAAGCCTACCATAACAAAGAGTTAAAAAGTTAAGTGAGTGGCTGGGAAGATGAACAAACAGAGGAAAAAAAGTCAGACTATAGAATCTTACTTTGGTGACAATAAGATAAAAACATACAACCAGAAGACAAAAAAGTCAAAGTTTCTACATCCAAAGCCACCAAGAAAGATATGACTTGGTCTCAGGCCATGGAAGAGCTCAAAAAAGGATTTTGAAAATGAAGTAAGAGAAGTAGAGGAAAAATTGAGACGAGAAATGAGACTGATGCAAGAAAATCATGAAAAACAAGTCAAGAGCTTACTAAAGGAGACCCAAAAAATGCTGAAGAAAATAACACCTTAAAAAATAGGCTAGACTAAATGGCAAAAAGAGGTTCAAAAAGCCAATGAGGAGAAGAATGCTTTAAAAAGCAGAATTGGCCAAATGGAAAAGAAGGTCAAATTTGACCTCAGGTCATCCTTACTGCAGTGCTGGCACTCTATTCTCTGGACCACCTACCTGCCCCATTTAACTCCTTACATTAAGATTTTAAGTTCATTTCCTTTTTTAAAATTTGTGGTTTTATGCATAGATATGTAAAATGATGTGTAATTATTACCCCTGTCCCTGGATATTGGCATCTGTGAATTACTGATTGTCTTCATTGTTCTTTTTCTTATATCATGCCTACTACTAGTATACTACTAGCTAGTATAATTATTTAACTGGGCAGTTTTCTTTTTTCTCTTTAATTTTCAGTTCAAAATCCATCTTTTGCAAGAAGCCTTTACTTTTACACCTCAATGTTACTGTCTTCCTTCTGTTGATTATTTCCAATCTATCCTGTTTATAACCTGTTTGTACATAGTTGTTCGTGTGTTGTCTTCCCCATTAGACTGGAAGCTGCACCTTTCTTTGTACCTTCAGTGCTAAGCACAATACCTGGCACATAGTAGGTATTTAATAAATTTACTCTTGCTCTTCTCTGCAAGGTCTCTGATCAAATATATTTTCTTGCCCTAGTTAGATAGATATATTACATACCTAGTCAAGAGCCTTTCATTATTTTATCTTAAATTCTGACTCAGAAATCCAAATCCTATTCTTTGACAATATCTTTACTAACTAATCCTTAATTAATTTTTCTTCATTAAGTTATACCATGTGATGACAACCTCATCTTCTCCTTTATGGTCTTCAGTTTATTTGCAAGGGCTTTCTAATGCTTAGTGATACTTTCTAGTGTAAATGAGATTTTATTGCTAGTCTCCACATGTATTTTTAGAAATGGGTACAGGTCTTCAATTTTGATAATTCTCAGGTTTCTTTTTGCCATGACTCAGATACATATCTGAAAACCCCCCCAGCATATTTCCTTATTATTCATGTCAATCTGGCACAGGAATACCTCTGTGTCCCTGGGTAGGAAGTCATTAAGCATCATGGTTTATCTCTTTTTCTTGTATATGCCATTTTCCGGGAGCACCTATATATCTTTATAACCCTTCTGTGGCACAGCAAGCTGCTACCTTATCAGGAAGTCCTAGTCTACCCACTTGCAAAAAGCCTTGAACCTGATACATAGCTCCAGTAGTGCAATAGTCCTGTATTTCCTTCTCTGTGTTATATTCCTTCACAGTACAACTTCTTTACTACTTTTGATGCTTTTCTGCCTCTTCAGATTATTTTTCTTTTTTGTTTTTCTATTGAAGAATTTATTCTATCTTTTCAGTGATTTCATTCTCTCCAATGGTCCACTATCTCTTTAACTCTCCTCTTTTAGAAGGAAGAGCAGCCTGCATCAATTAATTCATATATAGCTAGTAATTGATTCTGGAAGAAACACATGAATAGTGCAACATCTACAGTAAAAAATCCTTTTGCCTTCTTCACTATGTCACAACTATCAACATTGTCTCCTCCTCTTCCTTCTTCCCTCCTCCTTTGCTTTTTCCTCCTTTCTCCTCCTCCAACTTCCTCACTTTTCTTCCTCCCTCCTCCTCCCTCTTCCTTTTCCTCTCTTTCTCCTTCCTCCTTCCCCTTCCTCTTCCTTCTCCTTCCTTTTCCTCCTCATTCTTCTTCTGAAAAGGAAGAGAAAATCTCTTCCTCCTCCCTTTTTTCTCCCTCTTCTTCCTTTTTCTTCCTTTTCCTCCTTCACCTTCTTTTTTTCCCTCATCTTCCTCTCTCCTCCTCCTCACAGAGTAGGAAACATTTTTTACTTGCCTTTTTAAAAAAAGTAGTGAAACAGATAACTGAAAGCTAATATAGGCTGCTATTGCCCATAGCTCACACTTCATATAAAAAGAAAATATTGACTTTACATAATAGGTTTAAGATTCAATTCAATTCAGGTCAATTCAAGAAGAATAGTGAGTACCTGTTATGTGTAAAGCACTATAAATTAATATCTTTACTTTTAAGAACAGAGATCCTTTTATTTTGGAATATACCTCAGTGCATTTGTGTGGGTGCCATATGCTGATAATAAGAAAGTATACTTTGGAAAGTAAGAGTCTTAGTATTGGAGAGATATTTTAAAAATTTTAGTGAAATGTAAAAGACTATATTTTAGCTCCTGATATGTTAATAATCAAGCCTTTATTGAGGTTCTCTTGGAAAATTAGCAAATGTTAAGGCTTTTGTTCAGTGTTCCCACTTAGCCTTTAATTTGTGTTTGGTATCACATGTTCTCTTTGCAGTTGTGTCTGAATTTAGAGTTTACCCTTTTTCTCCACAAGATTTATTTGTAACTATACTAAGAAAATGCCCATAAACTCAAATAGCAAGTTAAGTCAAGTCAAAAAGCATTCATTAAGCACCTATTGTACGTCAGGCTCTGTGCTAAACACCAGGGATACTGAAAAGCCAGCCCCCCCCCAAACCCTAACAACTATGAACAAACAAGATATAGACAGGATTTCAGGTAACCTACACAAGGAAGGCAGTAGAATTAAGGACATTTGGGAAAACTTTCTTGCAGAAGGTAGAATTTTCACAGAGACTTCAGGGAGCCAGGGAAGTCTGGAGATGGAGATGAGGAGGGAGAGAATTCCAGGCATGGAATGGCTGATGGAAATGTATGGAATCAGGGAAGAGGGGAGACTAGTATTTATTAAGCATCTACTATGTGCCAGGCACTGTGCTAAATACTTTTTACAAATATTACCTCATTTAATTCTCATAACAACCGTGAGATGTAGGTGTTATTATTATTCCCATTTTCCAATTAAGGAAACTGAAGCAAGCAGAGGTTAAGTGACTTGCCTAGGGTAACACAACAAGTGTCTGAAGTCATATTTGAATTCAGCTCCTTGACTCCAGCCCCAATACCCTATCCATTGTGCTACCTAGCTGCCTAGGGGAAGTCAGAGGATACAGTCTCATGTGAGGAACTGTAAGGAAGCCAGTGTTACTGTAGTTTAAGTTATTACCAAAAAAAAATTAAGTAGGGGCTAGGTTACAAAGAACTTTACATGCCAGACAGATGATTTGATATTTGATCCTGGAGGTAATAGGGAGCAACTGGAGTTTATTAAATAGGTGCATAGAATGGATCTGCGATTTAGGAAGATTGGTTTGATTAGGAGGATGGACTGGAAGGGGGAGAAAATTGAAGCAGGAAAACCAAACAGCAGGCTGTTGAAATAGTCCAGGAATGAAGTAATAAAGGTCTGCATCAAAGTGGTGGCAGAATCAGAGGAGAGGAGTCACATCTGAGAAATATTAGGAAGGTAGAATTGATAGGATGTGTCAACTTATTGTATGGATGTGGAGGGTGAGAGGAAGGGAGGAGTCAAGGACGACACCTAGGTTCTGAGCTTGGGTGACTGGGAGGTTGATGGTGTCCTTGATAATAATAGGAAAGTTAGGAAGAGGGGAGGGCTTGGTAGGGGAGGTAATTGGTATGCAAATCATGAATTTTCCTTATAATAAGAAGAGAGGTAACTTTTTATTAGTATTAGAATAGCCTTGAAGTATCATATACAATAACGTGAAATTTAATTGTTTTATTTTATTTGGTGGGGGTTTCTAACATGTCTTGGCCTGTTCTGAATATGTATTTAAATAAATACAACTAACCTATAACTATGTAGTATATGGAAACAAAAAGAACAAGCTGAAATGGATTTTATTTTATTTTATTTTCCAGTTTTATGTATGGGGAACTGACAGACAAGAAGACCATTGAGAAAGTCAGGCAAACTTTTGACAACTATGAGTCAAACTGCTTTGAAGTTCTTCTGTACAAGAAAAACAGTATGTATTATCAGTATGTATAAGCTGTGTAACTATCAACAAAATGTTGATATTTATTTATATTTAGTCCTTTACTGATAGTATATTTGAGTTAGCTCTAGTTAACTCCTAACATCTGAGGAATTTGAGCAATTGATTTCCTCTCTAACACCCTTCAGAGGTTGATAAAATCTGATAATGATGGAGAAAATGGCTTGAACCACAAACAGAATACCATGTGAACCTAGGAACCTGGAGAAATATAGACCAGCTTTAAATGATCTATTAGCTTAATGCCAGGTACACAGATAATACTCAATAAATATTTATTGATAATATTGCTGATAAAATCATAGAATTTCAGCATTGGAAAAGGCCTCATTGACTCTCTAGTCTAATCCATTACCTAAAGAGAAGTGTACCTAACAAATGACTTTTCACTTCTGTTTGAAGTGAATGAGGAGGAACCCTCATTTGGGGAAGAACCCTGATAGGAACCTCCTAGGGCATTCCATTTAATTTTTGGATACATCTAATTTTTAGGAAGTTTTTCCTATCATGTAAGCTTAAATTTTCCTCTTTGCAGCTTCCCATGAACAGTAGAGAAGAATTCTAAAAGTTGGGGAGTGCTAGCCAGAATTTGATTGGGGAAAATATGTAATACAAACTTGACTCCATAATTTATTTCCTCTTAGGTTTTAAGCCAATATGATTAGCTTAAGTGAGTATATGTATTCTACTAGTTGTGTCTTTCTGTGTGTATATACATATGTACATGTATATATATATACATACATACATATGTATGCATATGTATATACATACATACTTACATATATACCTACATAGACAAACACCATACGTACTGAGGTCAAATCCTTATCTCCTGAGGATATGCTAATACTTGGTAGCACATATAATATAAGTGGGCCATTGAAAACTAACTTCCCTCATCAATATTTTCAGTGCTGGACTTATAGTCCAGATCAAGAAGTATGTTCTACCTATCATTGAATGTATAGAGAGGGGTGGTAGCTCAGGGATCTCTTACATAAATTCATAAACAGTAATAATATAGACCCTTCTTAGAGTGTGGAGTCTCTTAAAGAAAGAAACCCTAGTATATTCAATGACTAACTTCCTCATTTTGATTCTTTTACTTTTGTTAATGATTCAATTTTATCTCCTATTCTTTTTATCTCTGCTTGTCCTTCATTTCTGACCATAGCGAACATTAAAACACCTGGCTCAGGACAGTTTGATTTATATTGAGATGTTGTGTCCTGTTTGCAATTAGAAACAATGGCACAATTCACTAGGATTTCATGGCAGGGTGATGGCGAATTCTGTGTATCATCACACAGACCAGTTCAGGAAGACCTCTGATATTAGTATCAAATTCTTATTTCCAAATGGTGCTGACTGTGTATAGTGAAATATTTTATGTGCCTCTCTACCTCATCCTTATTCTATGGAGACCATTAGTAATTGTAATTATGTTTGCCTTTCAAGAAAATGTGAGACATTTAGGATAAAATCTCAGATGTTGCCACATATAGAACATAAATATTTTTTTTCCTGAGTACACTGCCATCTTCTGTCTTATCATTTTCACTTTTGCTAAAATTTAAGATTGAAGACAGAACATGTGTTGAAGACTATGGCCAAATCTTAGTTTTCACTGAATTCTAGGAAGGTGATCCATTTTGAGTGATTGATTGAAAAAAACAGGAAGGGCTGGTGGGGTATTCATCTTTTCAGTCAGACTTGACTTATAACTGGATAATTGACAAAACTGTATTGCCATCTTTTAGATAGTCATTACAAATCACATGCAGAAAACTTCTGATTTTCAAATGGGTGCTTCTTTCCTAAATGACCAGGTAGACCTTGAATCAGTAAGGGAAACCATGAGACCCAGATTAGTAAGGTCACTAGCTGTGAAGGTGGGAAAAGCTATCTTTTTCCTGGATATTCTTCCTCAGTAGAAATTAGAGATTTCAGAGCAACACACTCAAGATTTGGAGCACACTAGTGTGAGACTGATTCTCATTAGAATCTACTGCATAATAGTCACACGACCTATTTATATGGGTTCCCCACCTGTGAAGACAGATCTAGACCATGAACTTTCATTTTTGAGAAGCCAAAGACAAGAAGCATTATAGTATAGTGGAAACAGTGCTGAATTTTGAGTCAGGGACCTAATTTTGAATCCCACCTCTGATGCTTAACACTTGTGTGACCTTTGACAAATTGCTTAACTTCTTTTTTAGTGCTAACTTTTATGTGCCTCTTTAATTTCCTCATCTATAAAATGACAGGGTTGGATTAGATTACTTCAATGGTCTTTTCTACCTCTAAATCATTTTTTCTACTTTTTTTTCATAAAGTAGTGTTTATTGGCCCACACCAGGAGAAGGTGTAGAAATTTCTGAGCAAAGGTATCTATCTCAGCAAAGAATTCCATGTGACCCATAACACATCACTGAATTAGAACTTTTCATAGCTCACAGAGATGCAGCCAGGACAGCAGGAGGCTCCCAAAACAATAAGTTAAGCACTGTTGTTCCATTAAGATCCAAAAAACAGATCCTGGAATTTTGCCCTTGTATGTGTATGGCTGCAGAGGCAGTAGTTTCTATCTATAGTTAAAGTCTTCTTTTGAGGGCACTGGACTCCAGCCTGTTCTGAAGTCAGGAGTAGGATGACTTTCATTAATTTTTTTAGACACATCTCCTTTCGGTGTTACACAAATATCTACCTCAGCCCCATCACCTCCTGACTTTGGAGTATGTGGTCATTAGGATAGTAGAGCTCACTCATAAGATGGTAAATTTCGGAGGGTGCATTCTCACCAATTGTTGACATAGTATCTAATTATTATAGTGCATAAATATTAAGTATACTATTTATATAGTCTTGGGGTTGTTGTCCTGGGTATGAATCATACCCATTGAGTGAAGGCAACTAATCTCCCCTGTGTGCATCATATGATAGACGTGGTCCTGTGATAGAAGTCATGTTAGCTCAAACTTACCAACTGGTAAGCTTTAGAAAATGACATTTAAGAAATCACCCCTTAATTCCATGCATATTTTCACTCTTGGTAGCAAGGATCTCAAGGTTTTAGCTATCCAAATTTTTATTCATGGAATCATGATTTTTACAACTGGAAAAGATTTTAGAGATTATATATTATGACTCTTTATATTATAGATGAGCAAAATGAAGTTCTGGATTGGAAAGTGACTTGCTAGGTGTCATGCTATTAGTAATTAGTGTGAAACTTGTCACAGAAGTGGCAATAAGTAGTGTGTTGTACTAAGAAGAGATCAGGGAAATCACTATTGGTTGATGGCAGTGGTAGAATGCATGTAATAAAATAATTAATAATAACTAGTATTTATATAGTACTTTAAGGTTTTCAAAGAGCTTCACAAATGTTATCTCATTTGATCCTTACTACACTGGGAAGTGGGTGCTGTTTTTTAATTTAAAAAATTTTTTTAATATAGTTTTTTGGGTTTTTTTTAGTTTATTTATTTTTAGTTAATTTATTTATTTTTAGTTTTCAACATTCACTTCCACAAAATTTTGAGTTCCAAATTTTCTCCCCATCTCATCCCTTCCACCATCCCAAGATGGCATGCATTCTGAATACCACTTCCCCTAATCTGCCCTCCCTTCTATCTCCCCCTTTCTTATCCCCTTCCCTTTCAGTTTTCCTGTGGGGCAGGATAGATTTCTATACTTCATTTCCTGTATATCTTATTTCCCAGTTGCATGTGAAAACAATTTTTTAACATTTGTTTTTAAAACTTTGGATTCCAAATTTTCTCGCTTCCTCTCTCCCCATCCCCCCTTATTGAGAAGGCAAGCATCTTGATACAGGTTGTGCATGTGGAGTAATGCAAAACACTTTCATAGCAGTCATGTTGTGAAAAACTAACTGTATTTCCCTTCATCCTATCCCACCCCCCCATTTATTCTATTCTCTCTTTTAACCCTGTCCCTTCTCAGAAGTGTTTACTTCTGATTACCCCCTCCCACAATCTGCCCTCCCCTCTATGATTCCCCTGCTCTCTTATCCTCTTTACCCCCTATTTTCCTCCAGGGTAAGACAGATTTCCATACCCAACTGAGTGTGTATGTTATTCCCTCCTTAAGCCAAATCCTATGAGAATAAGATTCACTCATTCCCTCTCACCTTCCCCCACTTCTCCTCCACTGAAAAACCCTTTTCTTGTCTGTTTAATGTGAGATAATTTACCCCATTCTGCCTTTCCCTTTCTCTTTCTCCCAGTATAATCCTCCTATCCTTTAATTTTATTCTCCAGATATCACCCCTTCATCTTCAACTCACCCTGTGCCCTCTATCTATCTATCTATCTATCTATCTATCTATAAACATACATATAATTTTTTCCCTCCAATTACCCTAATACTGACAAAGGTCTCATGAGTTACAAATATCATCTTTCCATGCAGGAATGTAAACACTTCAACCTTAATAAGTCGCTTATGATTTCTCTTTCCTGTCTACCTCTTCATGTTTCACTTGAGTCTTGTATTTGAAAATCAGATTTGCTATTCAGCTCTGGTCTTTTCATCAAGAATGCTTGAAAGTCCCCTATTTCATTGAATGACCATTTCCCCCCCCCTCCAAAGGATTATACACAGTTCTGCTGGGTAGGTGATTCTTGACTGTAATCCTATGTCCTTTGCCCTCCAGAATATTATATTTCATGCCCTGAAGTCCGTTAATGTAGAAGCTGCTAAATCTTGTGTTATCCTGATTGTTACTTGAACTGTTTCTTTCTGATTGCTTGCAATATTTTCTCTTTGACCTGGGAACTCTGGAATTTGGCCACAATATTCCTAGAAGTTTTCCTTTGGGGATCTCTTTCAGGAGGTGATTGCCATTTCTATTTTGCCCTCTGGTTCAAGAATATCAGGGCGATTTTCCTTGATAATTTCTTGAAAGATGATGTTTAGGCTCTTTTTTTGATCATTGCTTTCAGGTAGTCCAATAATTTTTAAATTATCTCTCCTGGATCTATTTTCCTGGTCAGTTGTTTTTCCAATGAGATATTTCACATTGTTTTGTATTTTTTCATTCTTTTAGTTTTGTTTTCCAGTATCTTGATTTCTCATAAAGTCACTAGCTTCCACTTGCTCCATTCTAATTTTTAAGGAAGTATTTTCTTCATTGAGCTTTTGGACTTCCCATTCTATTTGGCCGGTTTTGCTTTTTAAGGCATTCTTCTCCTCATTGCCTTTTTGGATCTGTTTTGCCATTTGGGTTAGGCTATTTTTTAAGGTGTTATTTTCTTCAGTATTTTTTTGGATCTCCTTTTAGCAAGCTGTTAACTTGTTTTTCATGATTTTCTTGCATCACTCTCATTTCTCTTCCCAGTTTTTCCTCCACTTCTCTTACTTGCTTCTCAAAATCCTTTTTGAGCTCTTCCATGGCCTGGGACCAATTCAATTCATATTTTTTCTTGGAGGCTTTGGATGTAGGAGCTTTGACTTTGTTGTCTTCTTCTGGTTGTATGTTTTGATCTTCTTTGTCACCAAAGAAAGATTCTATGGTCTGACTTCTTTTGCACAATTTGCTCATGATCCCAGCTGATTATTTGAGTTATAAACACTGTGTTAAGGTAGGGGTCTGCTTCCAGTGTGGAGAATGTACTGTCCCAAGCTTCAGGGGTTTTATGCAGCTGTTTTCAGAGATACTTCTAGGGACCTGTAAATTTTCAGTTTTTCCAAGTTGATCAAGGGTGAGGTGTTTACTCCCTTCCTGGCCTGTGCTGTGGTCTATGAGTGACCACAAGTGTTCTTTTCTGCCTTGGAGCTATGAAGAGGATTCCCTCTCCACCACCACTACAAGTTCCACCATGCCATCACTCCTCCTCACCCCAAGGCTGCCACCCAGAACTGTGACCCAGATCCAAGCACAGGCAAAGCAAGAGAATCCTGCACCAGCAGAGAGATCCCTGCAATCCCCCTCTGATCAGTCTGTTGTTACCCCCTCAGTCTGTGGGCCATAAGCTATGGAAGCAGCTGCCGCCCTGGGGCCAAGTAAAGGGACTGGGGCAGGGACTGAGTTTCTCTCTCACCACAGTCACAGACTTTTCCTACTGACCTAAGTTGTCTTTGGGGTTTATGGGTTGAGAAGTCTGGAAACCACCACAGCTACCCATGATTCAGTCCTTGGAGGCCTGCTCCAGATTCACTGAGTCCTGTTTTGCCTGTGTTCCCAAGATGAACTGCATACCTCTCCCCACCTAGTGCTATATACCTTTCTGATCAACCATCCAGGTTGTCTTGGGCTGGAAATTTGTTTCACTCTGTCTTTTCATGGGTTCTGCTGCTTGAGAATTTGTTTAGAGACATTTTTACAGGTATTTGGAGGGATTTGGGGGAGAGCTCAAGTAAGTCACTGCTTTTACTCTGCCACCTTGGCTCTGCCGCTAGTGGGTGCTGTTTTTATCCTGCTTTTACAGATGAGGAAACTGAAGCTGAGAGAGGATCAGTGACTTCTTCAGGGTTATACTCACCCAAATCAGTGTCTGGGGTGGGATTTTAACATAAAATCTTTAACATAGGTCTTCCTGTTTCCAAGTCAGGGTAACACAACAAGTAGGATGTTTGAGTCAGGAGTCAAACTAGATATTTCTGTCTCAAAGCCCATAACTCTATAACCCAGTACTCTAAATTGTTGGATGAATTGTCTACTATGGCTCTTATAGTTGTGACTCTGGCCACGTTTTTTGTTGGTAGGAAAGTTAGCTATTAGCTGAAACATTTGTCTGGTTCATCCTCTCTACTCAGTGTAGTAGTTAATATGGTTTTTTACTTCATAATATCCTAAAAACCTTAGAAAGATAAAATTGCCAAATACAAAAGAATAGTTTCACCAGAGAAAGCCAGTTGTTAAAGTTTATATAAAATCTCTCATTTTGGTTTGAGTTTTTGTGTTGAGGGAATAAGAATTGTTTTTACAACAAAAGCAAATTATGGAGTGTCAAATTAAGTTTACAGCTTAAATCTAGTAAAGTGCCCACACATTCATGACTATTTGAAGCTTAATGTTATATGAAATGATACAACATTTCAAAGAGGCCCCACAGCATATTGAACAGAGAGTTGATTTCAGAGTCAAAGAGTCTTGGATTCAATTGATGTCTCTGACACAAACCTGTTGTGTGATTTTTTGCAACTTGAACTCTCAGTGCCCTAGGCAATTCTCTAAGTCTCTATATTCCAGAGCAGGTGTTGAGGTTTTCAAACAGAGGAAATTTCCTCATCAGGATTTCCTTTATAATATTAGTGTTAATTAATATTACAATAATATTAGTTACCATTTGGAGAGTGCTTTTAGGTTGTCTTATTGAATCTTCACAACACCCCTAGAAGCTAGGTGCTGTAATCATCCTCATTTTACAAATGAGAAAACAATGAAACAGAGATTTAAGTAACTTGCCCAGGGGTCACATAGCTAGTGTCTGAGTCCAGATTTGAAATGAAGTCTTCCAGACCCCAGTTCCAGCACTCTAATCACTGCACCACCTATCTGCCAATGATGAATATACAATAATAATGAAATCACAGGTCCTGTACAAATATGTTTACTAGATGCAGCAAAAAAAATCAATAAAACATAAATAAACAATGCTAAAGGAAGAAGTAGTGACACATCAAATACTCCATGTGTGCAATTCTATTTGAAATGGAAAGCAATAAGTGAAACTGTCAAAAATTAAAGATACCTTATTTACTTAGGTTGCCGTGATAAAATCCTTAGACTGGGTATGAGGGGAATAAAAGGGACTGGGGTGAAAAAGAGGTGATTTTTAGGCTACTGAGAGGTGACTCTAAAAGGATAGGAGAGGTATATTTGGATAGATCATGAAATTGGTGGCAAAATGAGAGAGGTGATAGAGGTACTTAATTCCTTTGCATCCTGATTTGAATCCTGTCATGCTGTGAGCTGTAGGGAGGCAGATCTAACTGCTATGTTGAGTAGTTAGGAAGGAACCTCTTTGAAGGTACTTTCTCATTATTAGCTCTATATCCACCATAGACTAAGGCTGTATCTTTTCATTTTCCCTGGTATATCTCACCTATTCCATTGTTTCAGCATCCATTTTTATTTGAAGGACTTTCCACATCTACTACTGATCTTCCTTCCCTCCACTTTCTATTTCTTAACTAATGGGTATATGTTTGAATGTCTTACTATCAAATCTAATTAAATATGGTGAAAACTCCTTTCCTATTTCTTTCCTGAAACTTTTCCTCAATACTGTATCTTCTTCATTCTCTGAGGGCTAGATAATCAAGGTACCTTGATTTATATTGAAACTTTTTTTCAAAACTCTTTTGTTCTCTCCTCTTCTCCCTATTTCCCCATAATTTCCCTTACAACCAAATATTTGGCTCAGTCCTCATTCATCTCACATTTGGATCATGAAAGCATCTGTTCCTTTTGGCTCTTCTGAACTGTTTCCCTTCTACTATATACATCTAAAATGTGGAAACAAAAACAATTTACTTCATATATCTCTTTAACCATATCACTGTTGCCTCAAAGCTTTTCCATGGTTTCCTTTTGCTTTCTATATTACCTTTTTGTTACCTAATTACCTAATTACCTTTTGTTTTAAGGTTCTAGTCCAGCCTACCTCCTGTTATATCACCTCCATTATTTCCCCCTCATTTTGTCTATACCCATCTCAGCCTTCAGACAAAGCTTTTTGGAAGTTACTGCATCCTCTTTCCCATTCTCATTAGCTTTCTTTAGTCATTTTTCCTTGTAATAGATTTTTCCTCAATTTTCAAACCAACTCCTTTCCTGCACCCACTTTGGACTTACAACTAACAAAACCAGCATAAACTATGTGCTAGAAGAAAAAAATCAGAGTAAGTGAAATGTAAGAAATGAGACAAATGCCAAGGAAAATAAATACTACTTTATTAGAGTAAGGGAGATTAAAAAGCAGAAATAAGTATATCAATTTAATAATAGGGTATGATGGTTTTTAGCATGGTACTAAAATGGCTTTCATTGCCTGAGCTTAGAGTTTGGGTATTTCTTACTTGAAAAATGTATATAGAGTGATTATATAGCCTGTGTAATTCCATGTGGGACTCTTCTTAATGTGCCAAGCACAGATACATCCTTCATAAATGCTTCTTGATTGCTGGTCAACTACAAATTTGATGCACAAAGAACAGATACTTGTGGTTTCTTTGAAGCAATCAAAATGTCTTTATTTCAATTTTTCTTCCTTTAAGAAAAAAGAAAATAATCATCAGCAAAAAATATGAACAGTCTTCAGATGAAGTAATCAAAGCTATCTATTCTATTTCTCTTTCTGTAGCTATCTTTATATATGTCTATCTACCATATCTGTCTATCTACCATATCTATCTATCTATCTATCTATCTATCTGTCTATCTATCTTTCTATCTATCTATCCATCTATCCATCTATCTATCCTATTTCTCCACCTGTCTATCTCCACCAGTTTATTAGTCTGTCTGCCTATCTATCTATCTATCTATCTATCTATCTATCTATCTATCTATCTA